CATCGTTGTATTTGGTTTTCTCAAAAATAAATCTTTTTTAAAAACGTTTTCGTTGAAGAAAGATATTTGAGTTATATAATAAATAATATCAATTTTTATTGTGAATCTAATAGACATTTAATAATTTTAATTGAATTATTAATATTTTTCTTTCTCTTTCGCTATATGTATACTAAGTGGCATATAAATCCGAACACCCAGTTTAAATGGTTCTATTTTAATAAAAGTTGGTGAATGTATTTATCTTACTGTAAATAACAAGTGAAAAAATGTTCAGCCTTATCAGTTGGACATTCCGTTTTTTATACTGCTTTTTTTTAAATTCACTAACGCTCTAAAAATGAATATTTCAGCCGCAGTAAAGAATCAACGTTGGCGGATTTTGGTTCTTGATATCCTTTACGATCGGTTACGATGCCTAGAGTACGGAGACCTGTACGATTTCGTCAACTTAGTGAGTTTGATAGGGGCCGTATAGTGGGACTTCGGGATGCTGGACTTTCTTTTCGGGCAATTGCAGTTAGAGTGCAAAGAAGTGTAGACACTGTGGTTAGGTGTGGTCAGGCATGGCTTCGAGAAGGCCGTACGCAAAGAGCAAGGGGCACTGGACGCCACCGTAGAACAACAGACCATGAAGATAGCCGCCTAAGATTGTTGGCCTTAAGGGACCGTTTCTCCACTACCAGGTTCATTGCAAATGAATGGTTTGCAGAACACGGAAGACCTATTGGCATGCGAAGTGTTTACCGACGAATGAGAAGTTTTGGCTTGTTTTCATACCGGCCACACTGGGTCCTCCCTTTAACTCGAGAACACCGACGTAATCGCCTTGAGTGGTGCAGACAACGGTCACTCTGGGATCAGGAATGGAACAGTATTGCCTTTAGTGACGAGTCTCGATTTTGTTTAGGCATGCACGATGGTCGTGCCAGGGTTAGAAGGCGACGTGGTGAAAGGATGAATCCACAGTTTTTTGTTGAAAGACATGTTCATCACACTGTTGGAGTTATGGTTTCGGGTGCTATAGCTTATGGTTCCAGGTCACCTTTAATCTTCATCAGAGGTAACATGAACGCGCAGCGTTATATCCACGAAGTTCTAGAACCCCATCTTTTACCCTATCTTGACACCCTGGCAGATCCAACTTTACAACAAGATAATGCCCGACCACATGTTGCAAGAATCACAATAGACTTCTTTCAACATAATGATGTCACATTATTACCATAGCCTCCAGACTCTAGAAGCACTTCGAGAGGAGTTGGTGGTTGCATGGAATGAGATATCATAGGAGGACATTGACCATCTGGTCAGAAGCATGCCTAGGCGCGTTAGAGAATACGTAGCACATCAGGGTGCATCCACACATTATTAAAGGGCTTTAAAGCAGTGCAATCATTTTGAAATTTTTATCATTTACTTATTATGCTTCATTAAGTACTTATACAAAATTTTATTAAAATAAAACCATTTAAACTGGGTGTTCGGATTTATATGTCACTTAGTATATTTAATGAAAACCTGAAATTTTCTGTATATTTAGGACTCATTCTTCAAATTTATGAATAGTAATTTTAAATTCTTCACTATTTTTAAAAATAGGAGCTGCCCCCTTCCATGCTTGCTTCCCCGAAGTAATAGGAGGATTAAATTGAGGCAATAGACTCATTATACTTGACAAAAAATCGCTCCTATAGTAATTTTTGTATATAATATAATATGACTTTTTTATCATGAATTATTGTATTTTCCTCTATTATTAGAGATTATAGGGCTTAACCAAATTAGATTACGAAAAATTCTAGCTTATTCTTCTATTAATCATATTGCTTGAATACTTGCTAGTATAATAAATTTTAAAATAATTTCGATTTTTTACTTTATCATTTATTCAATTATTAATTTGAATTTAGTGATCATTTTTTGATATTTAAATATTTTTTTTACTACTCAACTATTTTTAATTTTTAGTTCTAGTAAAATATTTGGGTTTTTTTCATCTATAAATTTGCTATCTTTAGGGTGTCTCCCACCTTTCTTAGGATTTTCACCAAAATTTTTTTAGTTTAACAATTGTTCTAATTCCATCTACACTAATTACATTATTTTTTATATACGGTTAAATTTCTCAGCTTTTCTTTTAATTAAAGCAGAAACACTCTTAAATCTTAATTTTCCTGTAAAACTTTGAATAATTTTTATTAATACTTTAGCTTTAATTGGGTTAATCTATTGCACTATAATAGTAAATTTTTAATTTTTAAAATTTTAATTAAATTTAGGTTTAAATGATCAATAAATTTATTTATTTTTTTTTATTTCAAGTTAATTAAAAATAAGGACGCATATAAAATTAAACTTAGGGTTATAAAGGATTTAAGTTAAAATTAAACTTGACTTAAAGTTGACTTTACCATTAAATTTGCAATTTAATATCATGTATGAATACAAAGCTTAGTGAGAGAAATTTTTTATTTCGCTCATAAATTTACCATTTATTGCCTATACTCAGCCATCTCACCGAACAAATGATTGTTTTCTACAAATCATGAGGATATCCGAACCTTATACTTCCTATTTGGAGCTTGAGCTGGAATAGCCGGAACTTCACTTAGGATATTAATTCGAGCTGAATTAGGAAGCCCGGGTTCACTTATTGGTGATGATCAAATTTATAATTTTATTGTTACTGCCCATGCATTTGTTATAATTTTTTTTTGTAGTTATATCTATTATGATCGGAGGATTCGGAAATTGACTGGTACCCCTAATATTGGGAGCATCTGATACGGCATTCCCTCGGATAAATAATATAAGTTTTGACTATTACCCCCTCATTAAGGTTTCTTTTATTAAGAAGTTTAGTAGAAAGAGGAGCTGGAACAGCTCATAGAGGATCTTCAGTAGATTTAGCAATCTTTAGGCTACACATTTTTTTTTGTTTCACAGTGTCAACATACCAAATTAATTGTCAATGACATAAGAAGTTTGTTTCCTAGTTTGAAGAAACAATTAGTGTTTTATCTGTTTTTTTTTTGTTGAGGACAATTTTGTTTGCCTTTACCCATTAACAGTGTGTGCAAAACTATTTTTGATTTACATATCAGAGTGATTATATCTGTATTCCAGTCAGTCCTCTAACTACAGATGTATTTTTTGTTATTATAGTATTTATGTTTTTGCAATTAATATACATGATCAATTAACAAGAGATAGTGCTTGCATGATATTGGACTGATCAGGTTCATAATATAGAGAAAAATCCAGATGAGTAGAATACTTCTATGTATTTACAATTTATTGTAATGAAGAATTTGTTTTATTATTGCTGGGACTGTTCAATAAATATTTTTTCAATTATACATTTTTTTATTATCCCGAAATTCATTACTAGTCGAACTGATGAAAGAAATACTTCCTTTATTGAGGATGTGTTATGCATCTATGATCATCGAACTGCCTCAATATCGGGACGGTCATCAGTCAGATTTCGTAATGTAAACAAATGAAATCGCCGACACATTCCTGACATTCCTGATATGCTGATATGAATTGTTTATTCAAACTAGGAGACAAACTCCTTATGTCATTGACAATTAATTTGGTATCCATAAAATAAATCACGATCTTCACTCCAACTGTCTCCTCGAAGGATGTTGACACTGTGAAACAAAAAAAAATTATTAGCATGATATCACTGTCATATTTGGTCAGCAAACACTAAACAGAAACATAGTCATCTCACCACGCCGCTTCTTATGATACTGCTCTGTTCATATGTGTAAATTCCCAATCTAGCAGTATACATTTGATTGCCAAAATTCTGTATGTAAACAAATTTTCATTGGTGATACCAAACCCCAGTCCTTAATTTGTCCCTTTACCAGATTTATTATTACCAACAGTACAGATGTCACAAAAAAAGTTACGTGCTACTCGTCTGTTTACCTCAATAAACTTCAAAAGAGATTACATATTTGGTGGGCTGCGAATACACAGCATTCGCCAGGAGTACACCTGGTTCGTAGTTAATGACAAAGTACCTTCACAGTGTTCTGTGAGGTTTTGGAACAACATGTCATGGGGGGCATGGTATAGATTTAAATTCTCTTTTTTCTTCTGTAGGGGCTATAATCTGCCAACATCACCACTGGTACAGTCTCGGACATGAAAGTGTTTGCATCTATCAGCTATGAAGTCAGTACTACAAGCACAAAATTTTAAGATCATTTCCATTTTTTTTTTCGTACTCTAGAATATAATTTCAAAATCCTCTATCTTGGTAAGGGGCAATTTAGGACCCATGTTTATTTTTTTCATGCTGTTTTTTGATCTACTTTATGCTGTAGCAATACTGATATGTTTTGCTGAAACTACCACTATACGCACTTTGTTAGGGGATGAAGTAAACATGGCCACTGACTTTATTTATTATAATTTTTAACATCTCTGATTTTTTAAATCAATCAATCCGCCCCGATGTTCAGCTCTAAACTGTCATGCGTAAGCAAGCGCAAATAATTTTTCATACAACTATCACCGAACCATCTGCCCATACAGCGATATAAAATCGATTAAACTTCACGATATAAATATCGACTATCGACTTTTGTACAGTATCGATGGCTCGTACCAATCTTCTAATTCCAGCTGTAGCGATCAGCTGACCAACGCTAGTGATCCGATTGGTTGGTTCTTAAGAAAAGTTCAATATATTGAACTTAATTTTAAGAAGTGACCTTGAATTAAGAAAACGACGATAACCTCAATATATTTAGTCATTTATGCAAAAATTAACTGATTTGGATACTTACTGCAATGTCAGCATCAGACGCTCCTCTGGCGATGTCCGATTGCGTTCAGGTGACTTCTGCAGGTACCTCTTCAACAAGGTCAGGAGTTGATACCAGCGCGGCTTTTCGTTTTTTTTTGCTCTAGGCATAGCCATCCTCAATTAATCGCACAAAAAACAAGTCCAAGGCAGAAAAACACACCCGAAGACGAACACCAAAACAAATCTCTACCGCAAATTCGTCAACAACTAAAACAAAAACAACAGATGAGTCACCACCTGGCTGTCTCGGTAAATCGTCGTGGAACACGAGACACCACAGAATTATTATAATTACGTCAATACGAGCATAGAACAGTATGGAAAGGGTTATCCAAGGGTAAGACGAGTTCCGAAACCACCCGAATCATGTCAAAAAATGGGTGTGACGTCACCAAAACATTTGACCACCACTGGAAATCACTAGCTATACTCTAGGCGCTGAAGAAAGAAACTAAACCCAAACAAATACACGTATATTGCTCGTGAGTGAGTGTTTAGGCGCAGGAGACATTACAGGACCGCATCAAGATATTATGGGTAGTCATCAAAAATTTCATACAAGATAATTATTATCTTTTACAGTAAATTTCAGTTAGAGATTCACAAATGAGTTAACTTCACTTTTAGTTATTAGTAAGTAAGCTGCGCGCACTCATTCAGAAGAGGAACTTGAATCTTCTGAATCGTTTAAATGAATTATTAGAGGTTCAATTTGGGTATCGATGACATTGTCCAAATCCCACATTTTGACCTCAACCTTCTCCCGAACGTGGCGGATACCGTTTTTCCATTCCTCTGCCGTAACTCTATTGACTGCGATGTGAAAGAGATTTTTAACATCAGAAAATTTATAAGTATTATTATTCGACGCTACGTATTGCTTTATGTTGGCCCAAATCAGCTCAATAGGGTTCAGCTCACAATGGTACGGTGGCAGTCTCAAGACAGTTTTATTTTGTTTTTTGGCCATTTCGTCGATCATTTTAAAATCGTATTTGTATTTATGTCTATTGACTATACTTATCAATTCACCCTTGACCATTGTTTCATCAAAATCGATCTGTTTTGAGGCCAGCCATTGTTGTATGTTTGCTTTTTTAGTTGCCATTGTGGGAATTTTTTCTATTTTTCTAGAATGGTACGGGGCATTATCCAGTACAATAACAGCGTTATTCTCCAGCTTTAGTAACATTCTGGAGAACCAATTTTCAAAGGAATTGCCGTCCATCTCCTCATGATAGTCCCCTGTCTTTTTTGATTCAAAGGCCCGCAGTGCTTCGGCAACAAAGCCGTCTTCACTACCTACGTGACAAATGATCAGCCGTTTGCCTTTTCCTGGAAATAAATTATTCCTTACACTATGGATTGATTAAATTTGAAGGAATGAGGCAATTGAGTTCATTTAGCTGAATTTAAGAGTCACGGAATGCTGATCAAAAACTGAAAAACGTAGAAAATTGAAGTTTGCAACTTCTCAAAACCCATTCAAAGCAAATTGACTGCACCCAAAAATGATAATAAATTTCAAAATAACGCTTAAAAGAGGGTCGAAGTTTTTTTCCTAATGACTACACTGCGAATGCACCATTTTTGGAGAATATCACACATTATCTGCTATCACAGCATATTATTTGCCCGAATTTATCAAAATTAAATTGCCGGATAGATGAAGGAGCTTACCTGCAGGATTTTTCAATCCAGCCGAAAGACCGTCTGGAAAAGCCTGCCTTGATGATGTTACTGATTTGTCAACCCAAACTTTCGCTTGAGTATGTCCAGCATTCACACACGTTTCGTCCAAATAGTAAATTTTTCTTTTTTCATCGCGAAACTTCCGAATCTTCTTAAGGTATTCCCTTCTCCACACAACAATTTCTTCTTTCTCTATTAACATACTGTTTCTTCCCCGTTTCAAGAATCGAAAATTAAGTTCCTTCAAAAGTTTTCGGAATGTGGTTCTTTTAAATGATGGAAGTTCCTCATCAGCATTAACTAATCTTAATATCTTATCTACTGTAGGTATCTCATTTCGGAAGAAAAAATTATGCACTTTCCTCCTGATGGCAGTTCTGTCAAAGTCATCTACTCCGTCCGTTATCCTTTTTCTTGCAGGATACGGTTTTGGCTCAGAAAGTGAGTGAGTGCTCCTATATTCCTTAATGATCCTATAAACACTGGACCGACATACTCCAGAAATATGTGCTACCTTACATATAACTTCGTCCACGACCAAATCGGGTTTTTCTTGAATTTGGTTTTTGTATATATTTAATATTATTTGTTTTTCATTTGCACTTAAATGTAGCTTCTTAGCCCTTTTTTGGGTGCGGTTGCGCTGATGTCAACCACTTCGTCGGCTGTATCTGTGTCAGACATCGTATCTTAGGCAATATATAAACAAAACGTTCCACTCGCGAAAAACGAGTATACGCTACTGAATGCTTAATGCGTATGCAATGCAATCCTGTGCGTGAATTAACTGTTAGATGCCTGTCGTGTCATCTACAATCACGTTTACAAGTCCAAACCTGTGCAGATTCGTAGAGCGCCGACGACTGCTAGTGACCTTGAATTTGTCTGTAGATCGATGTTACTCCAGTCAATTTAGGTTCAAAGTGGATGTTTTCTAAACCAATTTGTTGTTCCTACATCAAAAATATATCGATGATGTTTTGTACTGGGAGCTCATGAGATACCTTGATAACTTATTTTAACAGTCATCCTTTTTCTAGTCTCAAGATGACACGAAAAAGGGTCTGTGGATTCACTAGAAATACACTGCCGAGGATGTTTAGACCTAAAGTGACTGGAGTATATCCGTGGATGCTTTCGAGGGATCTGTTCACGTGCTGATCACTGTTTACGTTTAATGTCTTTCTTCAGGGCCCAGAGTTTAGTTACCCTCTGGCGGCGTAACATGTGGAGGACACTGGTGTAGAAACAGCTGATCCTTAAATTCGGTTACGTTAAGTCGTGCATGAACCCGACATAAGAGTAAGGAAATTTATAACAGAACAGTGTCTTACTTCAGATGATACGCTGTAAAACAATTTTTACATAAAGCAATGTTACACATTTGACACATCGTAGTTGCGCGTTTCTCCCTTTTGTATGTTGAAGAGCATCTGTAACATCTTCTTCGCTTTTTGCACTCGATGGGTAAATGATCTCCGACGTTGAATAATTTAGTTCTCTTAGTTAGAGGACGTTCCAAGGACGAGGCACAGCAGCGTCTTTCCTGCCTTGTGCAATCAAACCCTCAGCCACTGCAAGCAGGAAAGACAAAAATGTTGATTTTTGTCGGTGTAAGTCAGAATAAATAACGTGGGAATTCACTACAGCCATCATCAGAACTTTGTAAAAGACCTTCTTCCGCCATTTTCCAGACTTTCGGTCGAAGTCATACAAGCTCACAATTTGATCTGTCAGATCAACACCTCCCATATGTGCATTATAGAATTGGAGCATCTCAGGGCATGAAATTTCACTTTTTCCTTCGTATCTTGCCATCGACACACTACGATACCATTGTTCTTCACACGGAATTCGGATTCACCTCGGTTCAGTTTGTTAGAAAACTTTGGAACATGTTTTCGGTTGCTCATCAGTGTTCCTACAGCTGCAAAGGGAAGAGACTCCAGCAACAAGACAGAAGAAAAAAATCTATCGAAACAAAGAACAACTTCTTTATCTTGAATCGTCTCACACAACTTCTTGACAACTCTCTCTCCCAGAGTACCATCGACCTGTTCTGTATTCTTGCCAGCATATACAAATCGTAAACGTATCCCGAGGAGGAGTCGCTTCGTACCCATAGTTTGATCCCTCTTTTTATAGGTTTCATCGGTAAATATTGTTTCATTTGAACTCTGCCATCGATTCGTCAATGCTTTGAAAGGTAGAGTCGGAACGATATTTTTGAAATGTGACCTTCAAGCAATTCACTGCTTCTTCTATGTAGTAGAGTTTGTGAGCGCCTTCCGGTTTCTCCGGCGTATTGAAATACATCTTAGCGAAAAGGAGTTTGCAACGACCTCGGGATATGGCCTTTTTTATTGCTGTATTACCGGGAGACTCGTTTTTCGACCAATAGTGATTGAATGCAGGTACACGATTATAATACATTATGAGGGAAACTCCAAGGGTAACCATTATTTCATAGCTGTCGCAGCGTGCTCTTCTTTTCTTCGACGATTTCTCAAATATTGCCAGTCGTTCATTTGTACATTGAGCTATATACATGAAAAGGCTCTTTGGAAATAATTTCAAGAAAATTTCAACCTCACTAAGATCCCGCGACAATGATGTTGTGACGTTTTGCTCAGGAAAAACTGAGCATCGAGGAGTAAAAGATCCATCGTTATTGAACCATATTATGTTTTCATTTGTTTTCTCGTTGGTTTTGTTTCCTTTCTTCTTATCACTGATTTTCGTATATTTTCTTTTATTATTTTATTTAGACCTCACTCCAGAAGCATCTGAGGACTCTCCATCTGACGAAAATACATTTCCACAGCTAGATTCATCTTCTGACAAGTTATCTTCGACATTGGCTCCTAACAAGCTATCTTCAGAATCGCATTCCGAGGGTTCATAGTTTTCATCTGAACTTTCGCTGTCATGGAATGGATCTTCTTCGTCACGTTCCTTTTCGAAAAAAGCGGCTACTTCAGCTTCTAGCTCTTTTTGAGACAAATATTTGCGACTCATCTGCAAATAAAAATGCCTGATGTGACACATTGAACCCAATTAAAAAGTCTGCTGAGACACACTGAACCCAATAAAAAAGTTTGCTGGGATAAATCAGTCCCGCAATTTTATTATTCATTCATCTTCTGACAAGTTATCTTTGACTGAATTCAAAAACAAATATCTCTTAGACAAAATTATTGTTACAATCTTACCTTTATTCACATAAGTCATACAAAGTTTCTTCCAAAAACCATTGAAATTCAACCGTAAATAATGCTAAAACTTGCAAACACCTGTTAACCGCTCGAAAACACAAACAATATGATCGATACGCGATGTTGCCAAACGAAAACTGATACGCAATGTCTAGGGGAGACCTACTAGGACTGAAATATCCATATTAAACGTTAAATGGGACGCATTGAAACCCACAGGCTTTCGGATAACGATGCTGGGACACATATGTCCCGAGAGGCTCGAAAGGGTTAATTCCCTATAATATCGCATCTTCCTTGGAAACAAATAAATTGTTGATTAGTTACAAACTGTCAAAATTAGCTTTGTGAGCATTATAATGAAAACGTGTTTAAAAATGCATTTTTTTAAAGAAGAAATGGTGAATTTGGTGCTCGTTTTGGGCGAAGCCCAAAGAAACAGTTTCCTAGCATCTCGCATTTATAAGCAACGGTACACTCAGCGACATCCAAGGCCAGAAACATTTTCCACACTAAGATAACGTTTTGAATCAAGTGGAGCAGTGGAATATAGTAAAAAATGTATAAGTAATCCAAGTGTCACCAATGAGGCGAATCATTTGGTCGTTCTATTAAAGTTGCATGAAAATTGCCATTTAAGTGCACGGCAAATTGGAACAGAAACTGATATATGCCGAACTTCTATCCAAAGGACTATTCACAAGCATAGGTACCATCCATATCACCTATGCTTGCATCAAGGCCCTCGTCCTCAGGATTCCGCAGCTCGAATGGAGTTTAGTAGAATAATGCTAAATAAAGGGGGTGAAGACACTACTTTCCTGGATAAGGTTCTTTTTAGCGATGAGGCAACTTTTAACAGCATAGGGGTTGTCATCAGGCATAACATGAACTAGTATGCGACGGAAAACCGGGTTAGGCAAATAGATTTCGAAAATAAATGGAGCTTGAATGTTTGGAGAGGAATTATTGGTAGACTAGTTATCGGGCCTTTCTTCTTCGACAGTAGATTAACAGGTACAGAATGCTTGAATTTTTTGATCGAGCATTTGCCTCTGCTTTTGGAGGATGTCAACCTGCAAACTCGGATGCATATGGACTTCCAACATGACGGCGCACCTGCGCATTATCATAATCGTGTGCATAACTATTTGGACACCTGGAGTAACAATCGTTGGATCGGTCGTGATGGGCGTATATCTTGGCCGCCTAGATCACCAGATATGACACCCATGGACTTCTTTCTGTGGGGCTACGTTAAGCAGGTTTATAGATATCCACCATCTACCCCGAAAAATATGAAATAAAGGATTAAATATGCTTTTCTGAACATGCTGAGGGATTTGCGACGGTCATTTATCCAAAGACTACGGCTGTGTATTCAACATGGTGGAGATATTTCTGAGCAGTTTTTGTAGATTGGGTCTTGAGTAGTGATAGTTGCTTGTTTATGTTGTTATAGTTGTTTTTCTCTATTACGCGTGAAGCTGATTTATACTGTTCAGATTGTTATTAGTTTTTACGCCAAATCTGTACTCTTAGTGGCAATATTGAACTAGCCCACTTTTTGTCTTTTGTTTCCATGGATGATGTGATTTTTTTACTTAATTTTGGTGTGATGTTCTACTGAAAGCTTGATAACTCAAAATCTGATGATTTTATCTGAATCAAACCTTATATAAAAAAAAGCATATAAAATGAATCCAAACTTGCACAAATATACAGGGTGATCCATTTGAAATTTTTGAGAAAAGGTACAATTCGCAATTCACCAAGTAAAACATAAGATAAAAGCTGAGGTGTGTAAGTTATTTTTGATACAAAATTCAGCACTACAAATTTCAAAATGGCGATATGAGGGGTTGCCGCAGTGGCCTTTTTTTCTGGACAAAACACCTTACATCTCAGTAGCTTTTGAATTGGTTTATGAAAATATGCACTGAAATTTGAGGCATTCTATTTAAAAAATCACAACTTTGATATGTAGTTCAAAATTGAAACACCCTGTATAATTGCCAATATTTTAGAAATGTACCTTCAAATGTCATATATAATATGCCATAAATAGGTTTTCCCAAAATGTATTTGTTTATGAGTATTATTCCGTCCAAGCATGGATGGGCCACCCTGTATATATAGTGCTTTTAGCAAAGCTAAAATACAACGTAGATTTCAACTAATCCTAGTAATGTCTCATGTAATACATATTGGCTCAGCTTGGGGAGAACCTTGTACATAAACAAGTCAGTCACAGTTAATTTTTATAAAAAAAGCATTTCATTTAATTTCGTGGCGCTTGAGAGACCGAGGACAGCTCCATCGAAAACGTTCATGAACTACAGTATGTACAGCGAGAGTGAGAATACTGAGAAAAGTGAATATTTTCAATAAAAAGTGAAAAAAGTGAGAAAAAATACTGAAGTGACTCGCCAGCATCCCTGCAATGTGCCTAAAAGTTAGTACCGCTAGATCTACAAATGAACAACTTCGATTTGGGCATTTCAGGCAACACCAAATTCTTAGGATTGCTCTTGGAAGGGTCAACTGAAATATGTTTATTGACAGGAGCAGTGTTGCCCTTCCAGTTGAGAAGCGGGAAAAGTCACGGACGAATTGATCCACCCCCGTATAAGCTAGGAACAAAAATGCGTCAAGTAACTGCAGGATGCAGCCATTTTAATTATATTTGCTTGTATGCATTGGGTATCATAACGAGAGCTTTGGCTAAAACTATCAACAAACTGTTGTGGACAAAGCTGCATGCCGTTAAATCTTGATTAGGTAACATATATTATCTAACAAAAAAGAGACCATTGTTTAAATGTGTGACCGTTTAACACAGTACACGCAAATGGAAAATCGATGAATTTTCCATTAGAAGGTAGCGCCTGTCAGGTATTCCAGTCGTGACTGCACAACTTGTACTAATGTACGTGTATACGTATATAATAATGTGGCGATTGGAATCAGGAAAGCATTATAGAGAATCTAGTAGAAACAGACCTTGTTTCAAAGAAATCGGTCAAGTCGTTTGTAAGTTAGACCTACTTTTCGGTATGAGTTTTAACTCTCGACGTAAAAACTCTCAA